AACTACAGACAATATTTGCTTTAACATTAATTATGATCAAGTTTCTAAAGTTTGTTTCTCTGGACCCTTTGGTAGGACTTTACTTTTAACCAAATGACATAGCAACTACAGAATGTTTATTTTGGAGAACAGCACCTCTATAAACAAGCAATTTAATTGACATCCGCGTTTACTTAGCAAATGCATCGTTGCATTTAAAGACACTAACTCCCTAATGGATTTTGGCAAAGTTAATTTCAAATTAACCTGACCCCGATTACCGACCATATTATGACCGAAATGCAATAATCGGAATTGTATATTGATATGGTACTACATATTACGGACAATATTTGCCACTAGTATTGTCCGTAATATGTAGAAAAAGTACACATTACAATCCCTTCCAGTAACCACGGCTGCTGTAAGCATCCAAAATGTCACCGCATTTTTAAATAAGTTTATATATATCGCGTTTGAAACTGTTAAGGTGTTTCATTGAAAAACACGGAAACGAAATATTTAAGTTTCTTTGTACTGTCTGGAGTTTAGCCGAGTAGTACACATTTACTGTTCCCGTGAACATGGCTTCTGCAAAGCAACTAAAACGCCGAGTTATAGTTAAAATAAATTGTAAATAAGTTAACTAATACATTTCAAGTTTTAAACCGTTAAAAGTGGTTTATTTAAAAGAAACATAATTTTAATAATTTTATCAATATTCGGTTTCATGAGACTACGGTTTAAAATGGAAGTGATGTTTGTTTTCAAGAAGAAGTAGAGTTCTTACTAATATCACTCCGCTAGAAAGACACTACAAAGACATGTTGCGTCTACATAGGGATAATAAAAAAATATATAGGGATAAGAAAAATTAAGGATTTACCTTACTTTGTTTGTGGAGGGTCTAATGGGTAATTTCAAGGTTTATTTCTCTCTTTCACCTCAATAAAAGAGAGTATCCAAAAGTGTGCTGTATTTTTTCAACCTGTACAAAATAACTACCTTGAGCAACCATAAATTGTTCTTTATTTTCTTTCGTATGTGTCTGCATATATTGTATTATGTTTTATTTCATTACGTGAATACTATCTACTAAGCGCCAGGTATGCTCATACGAAATTTTATGAAAAAAGCCCTTTAAGTGTTATGACGAGTGTCAAACAGAACAAAACCTTAATCAAATATTACAAGAATTATTACAGGATCTTTAGTAAATTTAATGACATAACTCACCTCTAATAGTTTCTAAGAGATAGTCTTAGATAACTATTAGAGTTAAAAATCGATAATAAATTGAAAAAATTTACGACTTGAACCAGCATCCACAGCGTACCGTGCTGTTGCTTTAAACATTTGAGGTAGCGACTCTTACGCGCCATCGTTGAATTTTTTCAACCTATTGATACTTGCACCTCTCACGCAATGTTAATAATTAATCTATACTAATATATAAAACTGAAGAGTTTATTTGTTTGTTCAGAAACTCTAATTAAAAAAATATTTTTATGTTGGGTAGAACATTTATCGAGGAAGGCTATATCACATCGTGCTGTGACTAATAGAACCAAATGGGCAACGGGAAATGTAAAGAAAACGGAGAAAAACTCATCTTTGTGGGTTTCCGTGCGATGCGAAAACGGTTCAAGATGCCCAAAAAATTTGTATGAAAGAATGATTCCTCTTTAAACGATCTAAAATAAAGTCCGCGACGCTATATGTCTATCTTTTAAGATAACGACGAATATAGCGACGTATAGGAACGCGGTCGACGTCGTGGCTAACAGCTTAAGTTTATAAAGATGATGTGGGTTTGCAAAAACTAATTTGGATGTCCAAAATAACGATTCTCGCGAACGAAGTTGCTGGCACAGTTAGTTATTTATATTAATACTCGTAATAAATATTAAAGTTTCTGAATTAGCGAATCTTTCAAAAAAAGCCTTATAATGAAATTGTAAAAGATACATGGATGTAATAGGTATTTTAAATGACAAACAAGACAAGGCGAATCAATTTTAGGGTTACGTTTTATGGAGAGTTTTCCAAACAGAGTTATAATTTGTATCCACAACCGCTTTTAAAGTGCAATAACATTGAAAGTATACAAGAGCAGACTCCGATTAAAAATATATTCTAAGAATAAGCTATTATATTAAAGAAAACCAGCGGGTGCTAATGGAGTTAGTGAGTGAGCTAAAACAGAAGGCGGTCCATGAAAAAATAAACTCAGTAACGTGCCTACGTTGCCTCTATATACATATTACTCAGCAAGGTTGGTTATAAAGCTTCCTTAACGATTCACATATCTTCTTGTATAAACGCTTGGATATTGAGTAAACTAAAACTTTATAAAACACCTTAACGGTTTAAAACGCGATATATATTAGTGAAATGGAGACCATACCTGCTGCAAAGCATCCTAGATGTCTGGCCATAGTTAAAATAATTTTAACTAAAATACATCGCGTTTTAAACCGTTAAAGTAATTTATTCATATGTGTACTACTTGTGTAAACTACAGACAGTATTTAAACTATAACTCGTCTAGACTAGCGTATCTTTTTAAGAAGTACCAGTAGCTAACCATGTTTATGTGTTCAGAACTTTTGAGACATTCTTATGTGGGTTTTATGTGAGAGCTCTTCACGGGTTTGTTGGTTCTAGGGTCCCACCGAGTTCACAAACATATTAGACACTAGTAATACTAGAGCATAAATGGATGGTATGGGCTTATTGATCTAATAGTAGCAATGAAGGTAAATAATCGTGGGTTCGGTCCCCATCGGATCCAACATGTTTCTTATTCATTTGTTGTTTTTCTGAAACATGTCGTTTGGCAATCTGGATATTAAATCAGTGGTAGAAATATTGAGAATTCCATTATTTTTACTTGGCATTTACAAGTTCTTGCTTACATTTTCAGTAACACCACTTAGGTTTAGTCTACGTAGATGAAGATTATAGTATCAAAATCTAACGTTAATATAACCCAGTCCCGACAATTATAAGAACGTGTAAACTATCTTTATTCGTTTCTGAATAAACAATACGATTTTTTAAAGCTACATCAATATCATTCGCAGTCCTTGAAAATATGAAATTCGAAATCGAGAACTTTCCTGGAATATTTCATTATTGTATGGCTCGTATGAACACGAATTGTGTTCTCAATTAAAATGGCTCATGTATTTTTTGTATATTTTTGAGCTATAAATCGGGCATATACGTGTAATTACAGAATTAATCTATACTAATATATAAGGCTGAAGAGTTGGTTTGTACTTAGAACGCGGTAATTTTAAGATCGAATTGAATTGAAAAATTATTTTTGTGTTGGTCTAACTAAACCATTTATCGAGAAAGATACACACTTCAACCATCGCGCTGTGACTAGTGTGTACTAGGGAGAAACAGCAGAAAATGTGGAAAAAACGGGGAAAATTCTCAAAAATCAAAACTCTTTGTGCAAAAACGGTTTAAGACTCCAACTAAAAAAAAAGGTTTAAAAAATAACTCCTCTTCAAATGATTTAAAAACATGTCCGCGACACTATATGCTTATCTTTTAAGTTGAACTAAGCAAGAACGACGTGACGCGACCGACGACGTGGGTAACAATTTGAATTTAGAAAGATGATGCAAAAATTCGGATGACTAAAATAACTATTTTACGCGGACGAAGTCGCATGCCATAGCTAGTTACAAAGTGAAAAAGTAAAATGCTCTTTTTCAGACGTGGGTCGTAAAATTGGGGAACAGACACATTTCGGCATGTTGAACATACTTGTCTGTCCTGGAATTCTCTTGGTTATGGCATTGCATTTAGTTATTAACATAGCTACGATTTTTTCTACAGCGGCTCGAATTTCTTTTACGAATAAGCAGATAGTATATTTAGTTAAGAAATAAATTCAACTTGTTCATTTTACAGTTAAGACAATTAAGGTCACTTAGCGTTACAAAAACGGAATCTAGGGTTTATTTTCTTAGTAGGTCAGAGTTTTAATTAAAGTATAAGAGATAGATTTAGTTATCTAGGTTTTAGGCTGAAAAAAAAAAACATTAAATAAAATACTTTACCGGTTCAAAACGCACTATATATTAGTTAAATTTATCTGAATATTATGACCCCTCTCTCTGTCCGTGACCACGGCTGCTGCAAAGCATCCGAAATGTAGAGCCGTAGTTAAAAATAATATTCAAATAAGTTAAACTAATATACAACGCATTAAGAACCGTTCAAGTGTTATTTAAATGTGTACTACTCGCGTAAACTACAGACAGTATTTAAATAAAATAATGTTTGCTTTTATATCCTTTTTTAAAACAATAATCCAACAATATCGAACAAAGGTGGACAATTTCTACCTTGAACTATAAAAAAGCTCGCTCGAATAAACGGTTCATTTGAACTGAGTTTTCTAGAATTCCCCGAAGACTTTAAATTTTGTAGAACAATTTGCGACTGCTGAAAAACGTTGATTACAAAAAGAACATTACTTTTTTACAGGCGAGCTGATGTAACTTTGAGTATTATCACCCTCGGAAGTTAAAAAGTGCAATAAATTTTCAGGATTGTGTCGTTACGTTGTCTGTAATCATTTTTATTCATTCCAATATATTTGTAGATGGATGATTTAATTGTATTAAAAAAATCAAATTCAAATGTATTTTTGAATCGTTCCACTACACTTATTATGTTCTCTTCAAGCTTTTTGTCCGGGCTGAAGTTAGCGCGGATGTATGCGCAGAACGCAAAAACCAGGTACCAGTTACGACAAAGTGGGTGCGCGGGTGCACCATGCGAGCCGATTCGACTTTTTGCTTAAAATTCACAGTACGATGATGGCGGTTGCGCTCACTTCAGCCCGGACAAAAAGTTTGGAGACAACTGCAACTGTTTATCTTATATTATGTTATGTATAATACACTGTTTTTTAATACGATTATCATGCGTTGTTTATATATAATTACTGCAAAGAATTGTCCTCACGCAGTTCATTAAGAGATAACACTCACTTGTATAAAATTCCCCCGTCATTCCCGTAATGTCTACGGGCCTCGGCGTAGTCGTAATATTCACTCTCTCGGGAATAAGTTTCGGACGAAACACGTATCTACATATCTGCCACACCCCTGAGTCACTCCACATGAAATATTCACCTCTCGTCGGTAAGTGTATACCTAGAACAAACACGACACGATATAAAATAAACTGGGTTATATGTTTAGTAACATTAGCTTAGACGCCAGCTTTTTGTATAGCTAGTACAAAAATTAATACGGAAAAGGGCTTTTTTTATCTTAGAAGTGTGTATCAGTCTTTCCGAAGTCCAAAAATAGAGTAGATAAGTTTATTTATTGTTAAAACTTACAGCTCGTAAAATAGGATAGTCGATCAATAAGATACCAGAAAGCGTATTGAAAGTTTTCGCATTTTAGATTCAAAAATATAAAAGCTACAAAAGTTGCTTTAATTAAACACAAACAGACAAACAAAATTTTGCATTTATGAATGTAAAACTTACTATTTCAAATAGCTTTTAGGTTAAAATAGAACTTTTTCCGAGAAGAACAAGGACTGCTAACTCGTTTTAAAGAAATTAGTTAGAAAAGTAACAACAGCGAGTTGTATAAATAAAAGCGGTCTTTGTTACCAGTTTGAATACTTATTGCCTACTGAGTGCGCCGAGAATTCTGGTTTCGACTATTTAAAATACAACTGGGCAAAGACGATGTATTTAAAAAAACAAATACTATACTAGATAATACAAATTGTGCAATTTAATTGCATGGAAAAATCATATATTTATTTATTAATTATTATTTATTTTATTTCACACTTAGGTACAGAGCATACAGATACTATACAATTTAAAACTCAATTGTGTACCAGGTGGCCTTATCGATATAAGTGATCTCTTCTAGGCAACCCGAGTAGAAAGAGACTTAACGATTAATTAAAAATTTTACAGTAACAGTTTACAAGAAGTGCGTATATATCACGTTTAATGCAAAAATCTTACCACACTTCTAAACTACAATAACAAACTAAATATAAGTATTAAGTTTTAAAACCAATATTACGACACTGGCGGGACTTGATCCGCCATCAACAGTATAGATTTCTATAATTTCTTTAGTTTATATAAAATAGTAAGTTTTAAGACGATGCTATTCAAAACATGCGTTTGATAAAAGTGGTACAACTAGCAAACATATAATTCGTTTTATAAAGCTTCTCACAGACTGTTCTTTTTAGTCTTAATACTAAAAGATCGTTGATAGCAGAATATATTGTACGTTTCTCGGTTCTGGTCATCTGCCTCTAGATTGTCTTCTATCACACTCACATATATGACACATGTCATATTTTAAACGATTACACAAGTGAAACGCACACTAAGTACCTTTTGAATACTGTCTATAGTTTACGCGAGTAGTGGATGTTTTAATAAAACACTTTAACGGTTTAAAAAGCGATATATTAGTTAAACTTATTTGAAAAGCATCCAAAACGTCGGGCCGAAGTTAAAAATCATTTTCAAATAAGTTTAACTAATATATTTAAATAAGTACCTTTTTGATAAAAAAAATGAGTTTGTGGCCGTGTGGAGATTGAAATTTTACAATAACGGAAGTTTCAACACAGATTTCTCTGAAAATACGACTTTTACTCATTACAGATCCAAAATGAATTCAAGTGTAGGACTTTTATACTACGATCTTCTAATCGTAAGCGCGTACGAAAATACACTAAGGTCATCGACCTGCGAGAAATAATTAATGAGTGAGAGGACTAATTCCACAGCGTCCGACGCGTCTATATCAACTCCAATCAAGATAATATTAGTTAATTAGCAGATTTCTTTTAGCAAAATACCTTACTGTTGATCTTTTATAGTGTAGAACCTATTTAATTGTAACATTACAATTTAAGACGTATTCATGATCTATATTAATGTTATAAAGCTGAAGAGTTTGTTTGTTTATTTGTTTGAACTACTGGTCCGAATTGAAAAATGATTTTCTTAAATACTGTCTATAGTTTACGCGAGTAGTACACATTTAAATAAAGTCTCCCCGTGACCACGGCTGCTGCAAAGCATCTGAAACGTCGGGCCGAAGTTAAAAATCATTTTCAAATAAGTTTAACTAATATATCGCGTTTTAAACCGTTAATGTGTTTTGTTTAAAGCTATAATCATTACGCTGCAACGTACAAAAACGGGGAAAGTTATTCGCATTTAAGAGGTTGATCCACTTTGAAGCTACTCGGTATTTAATTCGTATTACTATAAAAAGTCGTACGTATTTTAAACGTTTGAAAGTGTTTTATCTGAATACTAAATAAATAATAATACTTAATGCTTGTCACCTTTTTACTTAATCAATTTACATATATATTATAATCAATCAAAGGGAATGTAGAATAAGGAATCGGTATTACTATTTTCTCTTCAAATTAAAAACGATCGAAGTTAAGTGGGTGTGATTGCAAGGAATTAGTTGCTTCGTTCGTAGTTTAATAATTAATCTCTGCGCTATGGGAGATGGCTATAATTAGGAGCTTTTCGAGAAGAGCGGAAATTACTTTAGTTTGTATTTGTATCATAGTGGTATTCACTTAGATTATCTGTGTATTACGTGTTGTCCGTATTAAGTTAATACTTTGAAATAAAACACTTTAACGGTTTACACGCGAAATATCAATGAAGTTTAACTTATTTGAAAATTATTTTAACTACGTCAAAGCGTTTCGACTCTATACCACACAAAAAGCACTTTTTTCGAGTACACTAGTTTTTAACTAAATTTTTTTTTAAACTGCGAATATCTAAGGCCAAAATAGATCTTGTTAAAATATTAAAAGGGTATTTTAAATCACAAGGAAAACATAAGATTGTTTCGATTAGGGCAGAAGTCTGATTAACTCGCATAGAAATAAACTATTCTATGTAATAGTCACAGAATGCCTCATTTCCCACTTGGGTTTCATTTAAAATGCTTACCATTTGGACTGTAAATATGCACCCATTTCTCAGTGCACACAGCGGATATCCATACAAACGTGGACAGCCCCACTAGTATCGTGCACGCGAAGAGAATTCGCCTCTCAATCACCAGGGCTTGGAGTAGCGGACGTCTTTCAGCGCCCACAGATGATGCAGTTGACATCTTGTCCGTTTCCATCGCTATCTGTGGAATACAAAACTTGTTGAAGACCAAAGACGACTAGGATTAAGGTATATTAGATAAGCTATTCAAAGCGTATACATAGTTTTCTGTTGATTCACTATCTTTGTTATCCATACCTATGTTAGCTGGAAATTTAACAGACATTCATAAGTATTTAGTTTATTAAGGAAGGAAGTAAATATCTATACTAATATTATAAAGCTGAGTTTGTTTGTTTGAACGACCTTATGTCAGGAACTACGTGTTCACATTGAAAATGCATTTTTGTGTTTTTCGGACTATTTATCGAGGAAGGCCTTAGTCTATAAAAATATCAGGCTGCGAAATATGGTACAACGGTAAATTATTCATAAATGATCTAAAAAAACTCGCAATAACGAATACGAACGGTCGTATGTATATATAACTTTTATATATTCGTGTCTTTATATATGTTACAAAAATAAATACTTAATATGATGCCGAAAATAACTATACCATGTGGACAAAGTCACGGGTACAGCTACTTAATTATAATTATACATTGCATATCATGGAAAAAAAACGTATAAAGCACACGAGGGGTTAAAAGTCACTTCACTTTACATATGAACCCTGGACCTCTTGTGATCGTTCGAAGTACTATATAATCAAGTCAATAAAAGTAAGTGTGTAAGTTACACATCTAATAAATCGTACCCTTACAACAGTTACGTTTTATTATTTACAGTCCTTTAGCTGTTACTTAAGTCCCTAACTAATTTCGAAGTGTCCAATAGCTCTGAATTCGTAATTAGTTTCGGATCGTACAAAGCACGAAAACGGTCATGATAGAAATCTCTCTTGATTTATAGAATAGACCCCGTATTCCAAGTGTACGATATAGCTGATTTAATTTGTTGAGAAGTATTGATTCTAAACGACTTGGCGTAATGAAACTTCTGTATTTACATAACTTATATATTACAACATTTAATTATAAATTAGGTATTTTCTGTAGATTACGAAAGTAACATACATGTAAATAAAACACTTTTAATGGTTTTAAACGCGAAATATTTTGGTTTGGCCCAACGTTTTAGATTCTTTGTAGCAGTTTTGGTCTGATGATGGAGGACGTCCCTAATTACAGAGGCAAATCTGCTAATGACTCTAACGTAGCAGATTTTACTAATGTATTTCCCGTTTTTATAGTTAAAAGTGTTTATTTAAATGAGCCCTTACGAAATACGAAGGAAAAAACATCAACTCAGTCTATATGTGAGGTGGAGAAATACCCAATATGGTGAGTAAATTAGAGGATCTCAGTTAACTGAAAGCTAATTCTCAAATATTATAAAGTCATAGTCGAAAAATATTTATTAATGTAGGTGAGTACGTTATGTAGAGTACTGGAGCATTAATAACCCTTAAATGTGGAAAAATGCTCGATAATGAGCTTTACTAGATCAACGGCACCTAAGGCCTTCAACTATCAATTAGGCCCGGTACCACTGAAACGTATGAATCGAACCACGGACCTGGGAGGATTCACATCGGACTTGCATTTTCCGGCCCGGGTCATCAAAGTTTGCAAAACAGCTTTTAGATGTTTAGGATTCGTTTTATGGCAAAGCAGCGACTTCACTAGCCTTTCTACGGTTCGAATTTTATACGACACCTTAGTGAGAAGCCATTTAGAATACAACGCTACGGTTTAGTCTCCTCACGAGGACAAGTACCGATTAATGTTGAAAAAGGTACGAAATAAGTTTACACGTTTTCTTTACATGAAAATGTATGGTATATATCCGTATTATCCATTGATGTACCCATCACTGTTCGTACTGGGTATGGTGGGTTATATGGAGCTTAGAGTGAGAAGGGAGTTGTCTCTTGCAGCGTATGTTATAAGGGTATTGCGGGGAAAAGAAACAAATATGCAAATTCTGGAAAGGATTAGTTTGTTACTACCTGATCAGTACATACATAAAAGGCATCGCCCGAGTCTTATAAAAGTACCCTTTGCTAAAACGAATTTGTTAGGCAAAGCGTCCTGGACAAGAGCAATAGAGGAAGTAAACTTACTTCATAGACAAAAAGACATTTTCTATGATGCATGGAGTGAGCTCGTGAAGTGTTTACAGTTTATGATTTCATATGTATTATAAAAGAATAAACGGATAATTAGTAATAGTAAACTAATGATATTTAATATTATTTATAAGTCATAGTTTAATTGTATTGTATATTTCTATGTTAGTTTTTAAGTTCAGTGTCGAATTGGGCTCCCACCTGTCATGACATGAATTTTAATGATTAAATAAATAAATAAATAAATGTACAAAAACTAGAGGATCTAACATTACATTTACTAGCAGTTCTCAAATCAATATAAGAAGGATTACAATATCGTATTTTTTTCATCTAAATTAATTTTATATATTTAAAATACCATCATGTGCCACATGTAAAAATATAAAAGGTTTCAAGTTAATATCTTCTAAGATTTTTCATAAATGAACGATATCTACACTTCGCGTTAAAAGTGTTTAATTTAATATGTACTTGCGTAAGCGACTGTACTTGATTCCAATGCTTTTTTTAATAAATACCAAAGCTTTTCACTCTTAGCTATTTCCACGTAATCTCGTATGAAAATACCGCTGAAATATTTCACCCACTATCGCAATAAGCGTGTTTATCGGGCTCGAATAATAATTACTCTATAATATTACAGTCTCAATGGAATTTCTAGATGAAGTCATGTATTTATGCAACAGCCCACGCAAACAATATCGGGGAAAGTGGAATAGTTTTTCGTAGTGACGATAGCGGAGTAAAAAAGTTTTAACAACGTTTTTCATAATTCTCGCCTTTTAAGGTAGTAAGTAACCTTTGGGATCGACCCAGCTGTAATTGTGGTTTATAACGCGCCAATTTTAATATAATTATTCACTCACGTACATATGAAACATTTATGCTTTTTTTACACATGAAGTCACTATATAATTTAAAAATCTTTTTTTAAATTATATAGTGCCCATTATACACAGAAGGAGTCCATATGGCAGCAAGTAGGGATCGCGAACTACCGCAGATTAGACCAAAACTCGGCTAATTTGGTTCTATGTGCCAAATATTAAGACAGTACTTTGAATATGTTTGATTTTTTCAGGGTTGGTGTAATCCCCACTTTGTCCGATACGTTTCTATTTACTCTATAATTTTTCTGAAACACGTGACTCCGTCTGGAAATCTCAATAAATGTTCATGTTAATAATGATAAATGGTATAAATATTGATTTTCCGTCCTGTTCAAGAACCACCGTTCAAAGAGTCAAAGTAATGTTGTAATGTGTTGTTTTTCATTAAATGAAAAAAAGATGAAAAAGCCGTGAAGTTTAATATGTTTCAGTTTCAGAGTCCATTTCTGAATATCCAAAGTCTGAATAGCTCGACAGCGCATCATGCTTATTTGTTATATATTCCATTAAGTCACCAGAAAAATCGTATTTTTATAAAATATTTGTATAATTATTCACTTCAAATAAATAAAACGTAATCATTTGCTATCATAATTTGTTAATCTAGTGTGAAAGAGTGAAAAATACGTTCGCATTTTAATATAATAGTAACTTAAGTTAAACTAATACTATTAAATCAAAACCATTCAATATAGTTATTGAAAAGTGATGTAATCAACAAAGCACTCATGCCCCAAATGAACATGTAACAAATTTGCCGTCGATTCAGGAGCGACGGTTAGTTTCATAGTCTACCAAACTGGGTTATGTAACTACAAGCATATGGGTTAATTAATAACGAGATGGGTGCGACACGTTGCCTTCGAGCTATAATCTGTTTGCTTCATATTACCGAACAGAATTAGGTTTTGAGTATTAACTAACACCTAATTGGAACTCAACTACTCAACCCCGGGAAAGTTGGTTAAAAGGGATTTTAGCAATAGTAAACTGAAAAGAAGACCGCCTCTGTAGCCTAATGGTTAAACGTATTGCCTAGCATTGCGGTACGCGTGAGAGGTTCTGGGTTCGAATTCCAGGGAAACAAAAAAATGTTTCGGTTGCGCAGGGCACAGACGTCTGATCAACTACTTGCCTGTTAAAGAACGGTCAGTGAAACGGACACAGGAATGTGTTTGCCCCATGCCCCGCGAGGGGGAAACGGAATTTCACACACTCAAACAAAACTGGAAAAATCTAATAATCATTTTAACGTAAGACAATTAAAAATCTATTTAGATTGATTAAAAATGACAGGGGCGGTATTAGAACTGGCGTCCATAGTATTACGTTCAAAAGACGACGAACTTTGAGATTAGCTATATGTATACTAATGTAAACAGCTGAAGAGTTGTTGTTTTTTTTGTTTGTTTGAACGCGTTAATCTCAGAAACTACAGGCTCGAATTGAATTTATTGTTTAGAGCATTTAGCGAAGATAATCGATAATCGCTGCAACTAAAAAGAACGAAGGAACAGCGGGAAATGTGGGAAAACGGGAAAGATTATTCAGTCCTGTGAGTTTCAGTTGCGTACGCTGCGAAAACAAGATTCGGTTCAAGATACCCAAAAATGATCTATAAAAGTTAGATTCCTATTTTAATGATCTAAAAAATTCTATAATAAGGTGTTTACTTTTTAAGATTAACTTGCTAGAACGACGGCACGCGGACGACGTCGTAGGCAACAGCTTAAATTAATAGAATTGCAAAATAAAATCAGACTATTCTAGGCGTATGAAGTTGATAAAATTGTAAATTGACTAGCTATCATCGGTTTACAATTACTACATTGTTGACGAGAGTCGGAAAGACAGAAGAGATGGTTTGTAAATTATTATTTGTTTACGTAAATGTATTGCAAGATTTTTCAGAAACCTTGAGTTATTTCTGATTTGATGGCTTTGATCTTAAAAGCCCTGTCGCTTTAAAAAGATAAAAATAAATGTTATTCTCACCCCAAGGAGAGTGTATTAGATCTTCGATTAAATGGGGCTTCAAAAATTAATTTT